AATCTGTGAAAAAGTAAAAAACAAATCCATTGCTTAGAGCTTCATCTGTCTCTCTATATTTTCATTTTCTGTTGACACTCTAGACACCTTCCTCTGTCCAGAACATACACCAGACCTCTGGGTGATACTTGGATGCTTATACCATCAGAATATTTTAAGAACAGAAACAGCTAGGTGGTGGTGGAGCATGTCTTTAATCCCAGCACTCAGGAGGCAGAAGCAGTTGGATCTCTGTGAGTTCAAGGCCAGCCTGGTCTACACAGTGAGTGCCAAGCCAGCCAGGGCTACACAAACACACACTGGGGTGGGGGAGGGCTCAATGGTTAAGAGCACTTACTGCCGTCACAGAAGACCAGGGTCCAGTTCCCATCACCCATATGGCAACTCACAACCTTCTGTAACCCCAGTTCTAGGGTATCTTATACCAGAAAAGAGACTCCAAGGGTACCAGGCACACATGTAGTGCATACACAAATAAGTAGGCAAAACATTGAGGCACATAAAAATATAAAAATAAATCCTACCCTTTTTTTAAAGGAAAGGAAAGAGAAGTATATATAAATCTAGAAATTGTAGCAACAAATCTTTTCTGAAGCTTCTGGGGGGGAAATCCTATCAAGAGCCCACTGCTAAGGTGAACCAGGAGAAAGGTATTCATGCGTCTGCTGCACTTAATGCCTGTCTTTGGCAGCTTGGGTTGACAAATTAAAAAAATACTGTAAGTTGGGTGAAGTTCCACAACAGACACGGATTGTGACCAAGTTGCTCTTAGTCACGTTTTACCAGAGCAATAGAAACCTAAGACACTTATCATTGGCTGCTATGAAAGAAGCACATCTTTAAGACAGACCACTTCCTTATAACAAAAATGAACATATAATATAAACTCATAAAAATTTGAATTCAAATCTTTATGTATCCTTTAGAGAAGCTATAAATTACTTCAAATCACATGGCCTAAATTAAGCTGTCACAATTTCTTTATCTGCAAAGAAAGCTATTATGAAACTTAAAATCATTAATTATAAATAATGTATGTGTTACCTAGCATGTACTTGCCAAACGGCAATTAAAACTTTTGACACAGGTATTACTATCATCAGTAATAAATATTTAATGTACTCTATTTAGCAACTCATCTCACTTCAAGCCTCCATTTCCAGCCGTATATAAGATAACTTGAAAATCTGTTTCCTATACAAAACCTACAGAAGTTGGATGAAGTATAACAAGCATCTTATTCTTAGGCAAAGCAGATATTTAAGAAAGAAAATGAAATCCTTAGGAATCAAAAAATGAAGAAGGGGGAAAACAAACAGGAAGTTTAAATAACGGGCTGTTGTCAGGCTGCTCTGGTAAGGTGTGTGGGTCCTAGCCATCAAAGAAACTGCTTTTTATAGACACTAAGATTAGGAGATAAGGATATGATCAGCCTGGGGGTGGGGTGGGGGTAGAAACCTAAATTTCCCTGCACAGAGCTGGGACCCACTCTGGCATGGTGATACATATGTAGAGTTCCAGTATTTGGGAGGAAGAAGTAGAATTCAGAGTTCAAAGTCATCCCCGATTATACAGTCAGTTAAAGGCGAGCTGGGAGCACATGACACCCTGTCTCATATACCAAGGGTAAAAACAAAACAGCTGGAAACTTAAGAGTCTTATCGTCAGTCTAAATAAAACAAAAAAGTACAATGATACAACAGGAAAATGAGCTTAAAAAGGAAAGTCTATGAATCTGAAAGCTTAGTCTAGGTAAAAACTGAATATATTCTTTATGTGTGTTATTAAGCTACCTGCAGGGTGCTAGAATCGCTAACAGAGAATTTAAATTCTAGGATAATAACATTCACTGATTAGTAGACACAAAAAAATTCTTCTCCCCCTCTAATGTACAAATTATATAATTTAATTTTCACAATCATCCTATTAAATATCTATAATGTTATCTCAATTTACAAAACAAATTCAGTTTAGGGAAGTTAATCAATTGGTTAATGTCATCCAGGTATTCACTGACAGAGCTGAATTTTGAACTTGGCTGTTCATTCAATTAAAATGCACTGCCAAATTTCTACCATGAGCCCAGCAGAGACAATAGCATGCTGCGTGATCCTTTAGTGCAAATCAACAAGTGTAACTGTTTCCTGCCTTCTCAAGCTTAGCCAGTCCTAAGAATGAAGTTAGCCACAAAGGCAGCAAATAGGAAGCTGACACCCTACAGACGCTCAGGGGTTCTGCACGCCAAAACAGCTTAGTTGCCTCTGGCAAAAAAACTAACTTTGCTGGGAACACCCTGAACCGGAAGGGAAAAAGCAACAAGCTCCCTGAGCTAGGTCTGTCCCATGTGTCCTGACTAATGGAAATAATTTTATCAAAATAAGTACATAGAGTTCAAACAGAAAATATTTTACTATGAAGATTAGTAAGAACGAGAGAGCTGTTGTGGTAAACGTAACAGGTGGGATTGAAAGTTAGAAATAACTGCTATAATCCTACCAAACTGAACTTTTAATGTAATTCAGAGTATTATTTGAATGTATATTATTGAAACCTGTTTTATTAAGGTTAAAAACATTAACAGCTGAGGCTGAATGTGTAGCTCAGGGTAGAGTATTTGTCTAGTTATGTGCCAAGCTCTGGGTTTAATCCTAAGCACAACAAAAAAAAAAAAAATAGAGAGATGGCTTAGCAGTTAAGAACACTGACTTAACTGGGCATGAGGGTGCATGCCTTTCATCAGAGGCAGGGGAATCCCTGTGAGTTCAAGACCATCCTGGTCTACATAGAGTTCCAGCACAGCCAGAGAGCTACACAATGAGATTTTGTCTTTAAAACAACAACAAACAAATATACAAAAAACAAAACTGCTGGATGTGGTGGAGGACACCTTTAATCCCAGCACTCTGGAGGCAGAGGCAGGCAGATCTCTGAGTTTGAGGTCAGTCTTGACAGCCAGGGCTATGCAGAGACCCTGTCAAGAAAAGAAAAAGCCAACTTCAGACAACAGGCTCTCTGAGATACCTTCACTCCTAGTCTACATAACGTATATAGTAAAACATATAAGGAGGAATGTAAAGAGAATGACAGAATTCACAGCTTCCACTCTGTCTGTGGCTCTATGCTGGAACAAAACTCTCCTAGTTTTCCAACTCCAACATTACTACCAAAATTTTTAGCTACTTTTCCTCTTCACTACTTCTTTCCTACAGTCAAGAATTGGCTATATGTTCTTTTTTGCCTTGGAGGATTGAACCCAGGACCTCTTATACGTTAGGTCTGACTGTACCAGTGAGTGATAGCCTCTAACCTCTACCATACCTTGTAACCAATGTGTTTACTCATAACATTACCCTATCTTGATTTCTATTCAATATTTTTGAAGGCTTGTGATGTACAAAATACAAGCTAAATACCTTAAGTTACATTTTCTTTTCACTCAATTCCATTGTTTTACACCCTACCTAACTTTACTTGTAAATAAGAGTAACTATCATTAGGCATTTACTTTATGCCAGGTATTAATTATATCCTGCCTGCCTTACAGTAGCCCATGCTAGCCTCAAACACATGGAAATCCTCCTGTTAAAGTCTCCCAAGTGCAGGAACTGTAGGTGTGAGCTACCATGCTTGGCTTCAAGGTAAATTTCTTGAGGAATAAGGTGAGACAGTCAGAGAATAACAACATTCCAAACAAAAGAGCAACACACATAAAAACAGAAGAAAAAAAACCACACTGGAATATAAGAGCTTTAAAAAGATCAGTCTTCAGAAGCAACTACTTGGGTTCAATTAACTAATTTTGATTCTGTGGTGTCCACTATGCCTATGATTTTCTCATCTGTGAAATGGTGATAACAAACTACATTGTATGGGATTTACTTTAAAATGAAAGTTAGGGCCCAGAGAGATGGCTCAGCAGTTAAAGGTAGTTGTTACAAAGACTCATAAACTGAGTTTGATTCCCCAGAACCCACACTGTAGAAGGAGAGAAACAACTCCACAAAGTTGTCCTGACTTCCATACTTGTATCAAAGTGAGTGTGGCGCGCGTGCGCGCGCGCGCGCGCGCGCACACACACACACACACACACACACACACACACACACACACACACACACAGTAAAATTCATTTTTAAAATAAATAAGTGAAAGTGAAATAAGATATTAAAGGCACCTACCACAGGCCAGAAACATGACAGGTGCTCAGTTCCCTTTTGTTGATAATTCAATAGCCTTTAACCAGGATAGCCCCCTTCTACTGGTGGGCATTTTGGCACACATTTAATCCCAGCACTCAGGAAGCAGAGGCTGGTAGATCTCTGTGAGTTCTAGGCCAAGCTGGTCTACATAATGAGTTCCCAGGCAGCCAGAGCTAAGGGCTACATAGTGAGACTCTGTCTGTCACCTCTATTTCCATCCCTACAGGACCCCAATTAAATATATCTTTTCCGGGGCTGGAGAGATGGTTCAGTGGTTAAGAGCACTGGCTGTTCTTCCAGCGGACCTGGGTTCAATTCCCAGCACCCATATGGCAGCTCACAACTGTCTGTAATTCTAGTTCCAGAGGATCTGACACCCTCAAACCAATGCACATAAAATAAAGTTTAAAAAGTATTTAATCCCAGCACTCGGGAGGCAGAGCCAGGCGGATCTCTGTGAGTTCGAGGCCAGCCTGGGCTACCAAGTGAGTCCCAGGAAAGGCGCAAAGCTACACAGAGAAACCCTGTCTCGAAAACAAAACAAAACAAAACAAAAAAACAAACAAAAAAAAGTGTTTAAATATATAAATATATGTATATATATTTTCCAGCTTCCCCAACTTTACCAGGGCTTTTGGAGCCCTGGAGTAAATTGTAAGTCACTAAGCAAGTTAGAGGCATTCACTGGAAGAAGGGGTGAAAAAGGATAATGGGAGTAAAAACAACTAAAATATACTAAATAAATATAAGAAACTATCAAAGAATAATTGAAAAACAGCAGTCCATTCTTATACCACTCACCAGTGTAGGCCATGTTCTTAGGGTTGCCGTAAGGAGCCCCAGGTTGCACGGGGCTGTAAACAGGGTTCATTGTGGAAGACTGAGGATCCTACAGCAAAAACAAATAAGACAGTATTGATTAGTAATTGCTCACTCCCTCTGACGTCATCTTCTCTAAAGCCTTCAGTTATACTCAAAGGGAAGCCTCTTGGTATAGGGAAAAAGGGACTAAACAGAGTATAATACTTTTCCCACTTTACAGATGAAGAATGACAGAGCAATAACTTGTTTAATGTCAACTCAGCCATTTTAGGCTCTCAGTTTAATATTAATCCCGGTATCCCACAGAGAGTTCTGACATTAGTGCGGCACTGACCAAATCACCTTTCTTCTTTGGACTTCACTATCCTAACTAATATTAAGTGGATTAGTTGATCTCCAAGGCTTTTTCTATGTCTAATGATGCTAACTCACAAGCTGGAAAATGTCATACTTCTTCAGTTCACCAAGGAAGCTTGGATGTCTGGTAGTGAGCACTTAGCCTGCTAGGAAGAAGGAACAGCAAATGTCTTGTCCACCCCTTGTGCCTGTACATAAGATAAAAGCTACTAGCAGCTTTAAAGAAAAAAGGGAGGAATTTTTATTTCATCTATTTGTATGCTCATGCACATGCTACAGTGTCATATGTAGGTCGGAGGACAACTTGCAGAAATTGGTTCTCTTCTTGCATTATGTGTGTCAGGGACAGAACTCAGGTTGTCAGATCTGGCTGCAAGCATCTCTACCCACTGAACTATCTTAATGGGGAAATTTGATGCCATTGAACATCTTAATGCAGAAAGAGAAACACAGCCAAGACTTCTTGCCAAATGTATTCAAGGGAAAGAAATAAACTTGGAAATTTGTGTGCAATAACTATCACCTGCACAAGTGCTCTGTTAATTACCTTAATGAAGGACATTCTCCATTCTGATTAATGGAAAAACTGTCATTAAGCTCTATTAACCAGCCAATTTGTCCCATCTTGTTTAGAGAGCCATATCTTACACATAAGGTGACATGTTTGAATATGTGTCTCCAGATATATTACTTACACTCCATAAAAATCCAACAATTCTCCCCTAACTAGGTTTACATGATAGATGGGCAATTTTTTAGGTCATTAACTCCTGTTGCACCCCAGGACAGGGAACAAGTTAAATGCTGAAGGCAGGCAATGAACATCTGGCTCGATGACAATAGCTCTGTGACTAATTAAGTCTGTCCAGGGTTCTGGAATGAGAGGTGGAGAATCGATGGGCTCCCAAGGACAGGACACTAGGCCCATCAGATAGACAAACAGGAAGTGCCAGTGGTAAATTTCATAATCTAGAACTTTCATAAGTCTACCTAATGCAAAGCCCTGGCAAACAACGTCAGAATTAACAAACAGGGTCAATACACTCATCTACAAATTGAAGCTACAACTTGAGGATATATGTTAAAAGAAGGTATGTGTATTTTCAGCTCAATTTAGCAAAAAAGCATTTTCATAACCAGAGCTGAGAATTAACTCTGATGTTAAAGTTTCCTGCTAACTGTAAAGTGATGTGCAGATATAAACAAAGTGTGACAACATCTGTGCAGACAACAGAGACGATTGCTTGAACACTTTTCCTAATTTGGACCTTCTTCTCCTCAACCAGTTCTCTGCCTAACAAGTCAGAGTTAAGTTAGACTGTTAAAACGCTGCCATGGCTTCAATGTGGTATCCACTAAAGAGCATGTGTAGGAAACCTAATGGCCACCGTAACAATAGTAAGAGGTGTAATGTTTAAGACACCATGAGGAATCTGCTCTCATGAACTGATTAATGCTGTTATACTGGAGAGGGTTTCCCATAAAGAATGGATGTGGTTTCTTGTGCTCTTTTTCCTACCCTCTTGTTTTGTTCTTTTCCTCTTCTATCATGGATTGGCACAGCAAGAAGACCCTGCCAGACACCTGCACCTTGTTACTGAACTTCCCAACTCCAGATCTGTGAGCACATCAACTTCTTGTTATAAATTATCCAATCTATGGCATTGCAATAGCAGCATGAAACAGACTAAAACATGTGCTGGGCAGCACAACTGGTCCTACAAACATCTGCACATTCTCCTACTGAGAACACACCCTGTGCAGCTGATTGGACAAAATGGGAAATGTTTTTATAATCAAAGAAACTCATCAGCTGTGAAACAGATCTCCTGCTGCTACAAAATGAGAGCCACAGACAGACATAGGAGACCATGACACGGCATAACAACATCAATTCAATCCCAACCAGTAACTGACAGAGAAGACATCTGCCAGGGTCTAATATTTGGAATAAGCCAAGTATGATGATGCAAAGCTGTAATCCCAACACTGAAAAAGCTAAGGCAGGAGGATTGCTGTGAGTTCAAGACCCAGCTGGGATACACAGTAAGACTCTGTCTCAAAAGTAAATAAACAAACAAAAAATTAAAGTAAGACTACTATAGCCACTTAGGGGAAGAGCTGAGATCAGAGTTCCTAGCTTCCAAGGGATTATCCTTTGCAACAGAATCTGTATACTGCTCATCATTCCAGGGACAGACTAAAAACCACCAGCTAAAATCACAAGTTCTACTGTCAGGCAGATTTAGGTTCTACAATTACCACATATCAACAGAAGTGTCCTAACCATTCTGAGCCTCAGTTTCCTCTAGTCTCAGAATGAAAAAGAATACTATATAAAAGTTTTTTGTTTGTTTGTTTTGATTTTTCGAGACAGGGTTTCTCTGTGTAATAGCCCTGGCTGGCCTGGAACTCACTCGTAGACCAGGCTGGCCTCAAACTCAGAGATCTGCCTGCCTCTGCCTCCCAAGTGCTGGGATTAAAGGCATTCATCACCATGGCCCAGTTATAAGTTGTTTTTGTTTTTGTTTTTAAATAATGAGCTTATTGAGGTAGAATTTACACATAGTAAAATTTACTCTTTTTAGGAATATTGTCCTGAGCCTAAAAATGTATTCATTTATACAAATAACTATAATTCCATAATCAAGATGTAAAGATTTTTATTACTTTCAACTATATCCTTTTGGTCAATCCCCTGCCTTACTCCCAGCTCCTGACAATAATGCATCTATTTTTTGTTGTAAGGATTTTCTTTACAGATTAGGTACCTACATATACAGTTCTTTATTAAATAGTTAACTGGCATTATTCTTATTTCAGATGAGATTAAAAGAGCTACTGAGAAAAAAAAACATACTAAAAATTGACCAAGTTGTACCAATTTTTGAATCTTCATCTTTTCCAGATGGACAGTCTAAAGCTGTCCTATCCAATATGTCATGTACTGACAGAAACATTTTCAAGATTTATTTGTTACATGTAGTTTGTGTGTCTGAATGAGTTTATGTGCACCATGCGAGTATACGTGCCCACAGAGGTCAGAGGGCATAGGACCCCCTAGAACTGGAACTACAATTGTGAGCTGCCAGATATGGGTGCTGGGAACCAAACCTAGGTCCTCTGAAAGAGCAGTAAGTGCTCATAACTGCTAAGCCATTTCTCCAGCCCCAATGTATCAGCAAGGGAATGTACTAAAAGGTAGACCATTTGCCTAGCACGCACAAGGCTTTGGATTGAGTTTGTATATCACATAGCCCTCCCCCTACCCTGCACTAAGAGAGGAAGGAAAGGAAAGATCTTATACCTGTGTTGGCTACTAAGCTCCTGAAATGCAGCTTGAGATGATAAGAGTTTTAGTTTTTTTAAATTATATGCTGACATTTATTCAGAATAGTGTTTTATTCAGAAAATATATTTTTATGCATATTTTACAAAAGCAGCATTCAAACATACAGGTTCCTTATACATCTAAGTGTTTTTCACTATATCACTTAATAAACTACAAGTAAAAGAATTCAAGACTTTAAAGCAATCATACTTAGCTAAATTAACTGATTCCATTTTACAGATGAAAAATGAGTCTGAGAAAGGGCAAATGAACCATGCAAGACCACAAAGCAAACAGAGGGTAGAGTTTAGAATAGCACCCAAAAGGATCAAAGACTAAAGAACTAAAAATATAAATCCCTAAGAAGCAAAGAGAGGAAGATGGGGGAATGTACCTTCATAATCTTTGATTGGCAATAATCTCCCAAATATGCTACAATAGCAAAAAAAGGGAAGGGGGATAGAGACGATTTAGGTAAATAATTTTATTATTATTATTTTTTTCTTTAAGAGGAACCACCAGCCAGTGTGGTGGCATACCCCTGCAATCCCAGTAACTCAAGAAACTGAGGCAAGAGGATCTCAAGTTCCAGGCTAGACTGGGCTACATATGTAATAGGACTCTGTGTTCAAAACAAGACAGAAGGCAGGCCTGGTGGTGCAGGACTATAATCTCTGCAACTTGGGAAGCTGGGGTAGGAGGATCACAAGCCAGCCTGGACTACAGAGCAAGTTTAATACAAGCCCTGGTAACTTAATGAGAAATCCATTCTCAGAAAGTAAGAAAGAGGGCTGAAGACATAGCTCAGTGGTAGAGTTCTTGCCTGCCTTGCTTGATGTCCAATCTCTGGACTATGAACAAAACAAGGACACCATCAAAAAAGCAAAAAGACAAGTTACAGAGTGAAAGAAAAATTTCAAATTATATTCTTGCCTTTTTATTTGAGATAGGGCCTCAGGTATCCCAGACTGGTCAGCCTTAAGAGCCTGTGTAGGATGACCTTGAACTTCTGATCTTCCTGCCTCTATAACCCAAGTGTTAGAATAACCATATCATATATATGGTATACCACCATACCTGGTTTTCAAATTGCAGATCTAATATGGGATTTGCATTTAAAATGTGTGAAAAATTTATGCAGCTCAATAGCAAAAAAAAAAAAATGTTTCAATCCTAATTTTTAAATGTATTTATTTTATGTGTATGGATGTTTTGCCTGCATGCCTGGTGCCTGCAGAGGTCAGAAGACACTGAATCTCCTGCAAATTAAAGGTGGGTGCTGGGAATCCAACCCAGGTCCTATGCAAAAGCAACAAAGTGCTCTAACTACTGAGCCATTTCTCCAGCCCAAGACACCTAATTTTTCAGGTGAGTGGAGA